GGAGGGGTTTGGTGGTGGTGGGGGAGGAGTTTTGGTGGAGGGATAGGGAAAGTGGAAAAGGATAATGATGAGGCTACGTGAGACTCCTGAAAGATTGGGTGAGAGACTCTTTTGTGTGATTTGAAACGTGATGCCAGACTGGTGCAGGGATAGAGAGGTCTGTCTGTCTCTGTCTCTGTCTCTCTGTCTAATTTTCCTTATAATAACAACACAAAAACAAAAAACAAATAAACGACATTCTCTTACTTGGAGACTTCGGGGAGACAGCAAAGAGAGAGACGTGACTTCAAAGAGAAATTCTCATATCATTATTTCCCTTATCTACCGCGGGCGTTTGCTTCTATATTTCTCATTAATTCTCATCATCCGGGGGTGAGGGGTGTGGGGGGAGTGGGTGAGGGTGAGGGTGTGGGTGAGGTGAGGGTGGGTGAGGGTGAGGGTGTGGGGGGTGGGTGTGAGGTGAGGAGGTGTGGGGGGGTGGGTGAGGTGTGTGGGGTCGGTGAGGAGGTGAGGGTGTGGGGGGTGGGTGAGAGGTGGGGGGTGTGGGTGAGGGGTGAGGGGTGTGGGGGTGGGGTGGGGGTGTGGGGTGGGTGAGGGTGAGGGTGTGGGGGGTGGGTGAGGGTGAGGGGGTGAGGTGAGGGGGTGAGGGGGGGGTGAAGGTGAGGACAATGTTTGCGTTGGTTACCTGTGCTTAGTAAGACACCTGGAGGCTTTAAGGTTTAGAGATATTGTAACTTAGAACACGAGATGGTAGCGAAGATTGACGTGTGTGTGTGTGTGTGTGTGTGTGTGTGTGTGTTTGAGGGGGTTAGACAGGTGTGGAGCGCTGAACAGGTGTGGAAAATACAGTGGATGGTTGTGATAATACAGGTGTTCTGGCCATCACTCCTCCCCATCACCCATCTCACACCCCATCACCCACCTCACACCCCATCACCCACCTCACCTACACCTCATTAAAAGCTTCAGGAGGTAGAATATCCTGCGGGCATTAGTTTATTAATTAATCTACCTGAGGGAACACTTCTCTCTCTCTCTCTCTCTCTCTCTCTCTCTCTCTCTCAGGCCTACTTGCTCCTAACCACAAGGCTTCCTTAACGAGAGGGGCTACAATTAAGGAAGGGAGAGGGAGGGAGGGAGATAGAAGGTTAATAATAGGAGTCGGGGAGGAGGGGGAGGGAGAGGGAAGAGGAGAGGGAGGAGGGAGGAGGGAGGCTAGGGAATGTGTGGTGGATGGAGGTTAGGTTTGGGGCTGAGGGTGTGTGGGGTGGATGGGTTGGGTTAGGGGAGGCTAGGAGTGTGTGGTGGATAGGTTAGGTTTGGGGCGGCTAGGAGTGTGTGGTGGATAGGTTAGGTTAGGGGCGGCTAGGAGTGTGTGGTGGATAGGTTAGGTTAGGGGAGGCTAGGAGTGTGTGGTGGATAGGTTAGGTTAGGGGAGGCTAGGAGTGTGTGGTGGATAGTGGGTGACCAGTATTAAAGGCCTGTGTAGCACTTCCTAATTCAGCCTCACAAACGGAATATTATATAACACAATCTCCTCCTTCCTGCCCACCACCCCTCCACTCCTCCCACCCTCCATCCACTCCCTCTTACCCTCCATCCTTCCCTTCTTCCTTCCCTCCCTTATTTCTCTCCTTCCTCCTTTCTTTCCTCCCTTCCTGCCCTCCACCCCCTATTTCTTTCTCTCCTTCCCTATTTCCCTTCCTTCTTCCTTCCTTTCCTTCCTTTCCTCCCTCCCTTTCTTCTTCCTTCCCTCCCTTTCACCCTTCTTCCCTCTCCTCCTCCTCCCTTCCTCTCCCTTCCTCCCTTCTTCCCTCCTCCTTTCCTTTCTCCCTTCCCATTCCTTCCAGCTATTACCCCTCACCTCACCTCACCCCACCTCACCATCACCTCACCTCACCTCACACAACGCCTTATTTTACAACCTCCTCCACACCCACACATGAGGGCAGTGACACGCCCATCCAGGCATGTGACCACGCCCACCTCTAGAGAAAGCACCTAACAACCTCCTCCCTTCTTCATCTCTCCCTCCTCACCACCTCCACCGTTACCGCCTCTCCCCCACCTCCCCTCCTCCACCCCCTCTCCCCCACCTCCCCCTCCTCTACCTCCCCACCTCCCCTCCTCCTACCTCCCCCACCTCCCCTCCTCCCCACCTCTCCCCACCTCCCCTCCTCACCACCTCTCCCCTCCCCTCCTCACCACCTCTCCCCCACCTCCCCTCCCTCCCACCCCCCTCTCCCCCCCCTCCCCCTCCCTCCCACCACCTCTCCCCCCACCTCCCCTCCTCACCCCACCCCTCTCCCCACCTCCCCCTCCCTCCCCACACCACCTCTCCCCCACCTCCCCTCCCCTCCCTACCTCTCCCCACCTCCCCTCCTCCACCACCTCTCCCCACCTCCCCTCCTCCACCCCGTCTCCCCCACCTCTGCAGCAGTAATTACAGCTCCCGCAGTAGTCCCCTCAGCCATTCATTACACCAGGACACAGTCAGTCAGTTTCCCTCGTTGTCAAGATAAAAACAAAACAGAAAAACATTGACTATTTTTTTTAGTATTAGGTTAAATATAGCGACTTATTGACTCGTATTAGGATGAAGCAAACAGTATGACACTTAGTAATCAATGACTCAGTGTAAACAAAGATGAGTTATTATTAGGTTAAGTTAGGTTAGATTAGGTTTGGTTAGGTTAGGTTAATCTGCCGTCATAGCCTCACAAGAATCATAATTATATAGTGTGAATATCCGAGACGAGGTTAAACTGTGCACCAGAAATAAAGATCTTTGGGACGAGGAGTTTCTCAAGACATAGTTAACACAGCCAGCAGCAAGTCAGCCAGCAAGGGATGTCTGAATGTCTGGAAGCTTTCACCAACTCTAATGACGTCCCTCAAACATGGCTAAGACGCTCTTTATGATGGGGTCGTCCAGGGAGGTTCGTTAAGGGTCTTTTGAGAGCGTCTGTGATCCAAGTGGGTGATTCCTGAGGGAGTCTGGCAGCGTTCACCTGGTGGGGGTATTTACAGGTTCTGGCGGACTTTCCCTCACCTAGTGGCTGGTTGGTATAGGGGGGAGGATGGTTGATAGGAGGATGGTTGATAGGAGGATGGTTGATAGAAGGATGGTTGAGAGGAGGATGGTAGAGAAGAAGGAGGAGAAAAAAAGGGAAAAAAATGTGTGTATGTGTGTGTGTGTGTAGGAAGCAGTACCATGGCAACCTCAGCACATGCCAATCCTTTTTACGTGTTTAAGTTCAAAGGTTCATCGTCGTCACACACACACAAAACACAAAACACTACGCAGAAACCTTATAGCATTTTCTGTAGCAAAAACCTATGGCCACATTAACATAAAAATAGATTTCCAATTTTACGTTTATCCCAAAGTGGTTCCGTTTTCTTTTGACACATATGAGGAAGGACTCAATTATTTTCTTCTGACGAGGAAAATGACACGACTCAACCAAACTTACCTTAAAACAGCTTACGTGAGGTTTGGTCAGGTTTGGTTAGGTTAGATTTGGTTAGGTTAAGTCACGAACAAATATTACTATTTCTTGAAAGCTGACGACGAAACTCCAGCAGGTCGGGACAATAACAGCTGAGTCATATAAACAGAGGAAGAGTATGAAGGAGTTTGTATCCACTCAACAGAAACAATGAGCCCTCCACACACTCCTTCCCTCCACACACTCCTTCCCTCCACACACTCCTTCCCTCCACACACTCCTTCCCTCCACACACTCCTTCCCTCCCACACACTCCTTCCCTCCACACACTCCTTCCCTCCACACACTCCTTCCCTCCACACACTCCTTCCCTCCACACACTCCTTCCCTCCACACACTCCTTCCCTCCACACACTCCTTCCCTCCCCAGCATCCGTATTGTCCAGCCTGAGATATGACTCATGAAGCTTCTTAATGGAGTGTGATGCTTCGGATAGGGGAGAGAAATGGCTTCATATGTGAGAGATTTTGGCTTCACTATCATCTTACACTACATCACCTTCACTATCATCTTCACTACATCACCTTCACTATCATCTTACACTACATCACCTTCACTATCATCTTCACTACATCATCTTCTACATCATCATCTTCACTACATCACCTTCACTATCATCTTCACTACATCACCTTCACTATCATCTTCACTACACCACCTTCACTATCATCTTCACTACATCACCTTCACTATCATCTTACACTACATCACCTTCACTATCATCTTCACTACATCACCTTCACTATCATCTTCACTACATCACCTTCACTATCATCTTACACTACATCAACTATACTACATTAACACTATACTATAAAGACAATGTCCTGTTACCTCTTACTACAATAATTCTCTGCCCATTGATGACAAACGACTACTGTCAGTGTACAGGAAGTGCTAATATGTGTTGGTGTTGCACGATGAACAAAATAACGAAAACAGTGATGTCCGGGTGGCGTAAAATGAAGCGGCTCCTGTGCTGCAAAAAACCACTTACCGACTCCACTCCCCACTCACCTCAACCCACTCCACTCCCTACACCTACTCTCACTACTCCCCCCCTCGTTTCTCTCACCACCCCCTTGCTTGTGTCTAAGAGCATCTCAATTCCCCCCCACACTTCTTTCCCCACACCTCGTCACTCACCCCCCCTCACCCCACACCCCTTCCTTCCTCTCACTACTTCCACTCGCACCGCTCTGTCTCGCATGTCAACGAGAATCACAACTCTACCCCACTGTACTCCATCAATACCTCCTCCCTCATCTACCCACACCCCCCTCATCTCCCCATTCCCTCTCTCACTCATCCACTCCCCCTCATTTTCCCACCCCTCTCATTGCTCTCCCCATTCCAACTCACCCGATTACATTTTGCTGTCTCTTAGGGAGGTGCAAACAATTCCAGTTATAAGGCGACTTGGGGCAGGGACTTTTGGGGTAGTTGACCTGATAATTTATAATAGGGGCCTTAAAGTTTTAAAAAAAATGAAAGAAGTAAATTATGCGAAATTCATTAAAGAAGTGAAGATTCAAAGGAAGCTTGACGGTGCCGGTGGTGCCCCCCGTATACACGCAGTGTGTCAAGAAGATTCGTCTGTCATCATGGACTACACCGGTATAACTTATGATGAGTACATCAATTATGCCACCACAAGACAAAAGGTCCATACACTGGTTAAAATCGCGGAAGCCTTGTGTGAGATTCACCAGAAAAATATATTTCATAATGATTTAAAACAAAATAATATAACAATTACCGTCAAAGAAAAAGATTCTACCGTCCATATAATCGACTTTGGAAAAGCAACAGACCACGAAAAGTATATAAACCGCGGTAAAAAATCAAGATATTGGATTGCACCGGAATTCGCCTCTGGTGGCGTCACTTCTGCTGCGTCCGACACGTACTCTTTTGGACAGCTGGTGCGGGACGTCAGGGACTATATCACTGATAACAGACTAATACTTGAACTCTTTGACAAGATTGTTGACATGACCACCTGTGAAGATCCTCTCCACCGCGTACCGCTGACAGAAGTTGTACGCGTCATGAATGAGTGCCTACCAATCGCAAACTGATCCTCCCCCTGGCCAGCTAATCCTCCCCCTGGCCAGCTACTCCACCCCTGACCGGCTAATCCACCCCTGGCCGGTCAATCCTCCCCCTGGCCAGCTGACATGTTCATAAAATAATAAATAAAATTTACAAAATTATTGAATAATGTTTTTATTCCTTTTATAGATATTGTTTATTATGAATTTATTGTGACAATAACATGTACTACAGTATATACAGACAACTGTTGACTGATTCTGCTTGTTGAGATACATTCAGTGACACGCTTACAAGTACTGTCATATACATTATAATTTACAACTGTTATGTATCTTATTAGCAGAATAAATAAACAACATTTTTTATACCTATACCATATTTTCTACATATAATTGTGAATCACCTGTACATAGACTAATTAAACACACGAGAAGGTAAATAACAAATTGATATTCTTATAATACTAGTAGGTTGCGTTAGATTACGTTAGGTTAGGTTATGTTAGGTTAGGTTAGATTACGTTAAGTTACGTTATGTTAGGTTACGTTAGGTTATGTTAGGTTAGGTTACGTTAGGTTACGTTAGGTTAGGTTAGGTTAGGTTAGGTTACGTTACGTTAGGTTACGTTAGGTTACGTTAGGTTACGTTAGGTTTACACACAGAAACACACAATTATTAAGGATTTATGTATTATCCTAAATACAAATAAAGGTACTACAGTTATTACAGGATTTAGGAGACGCGATGATTGGTGTGAGGGTGACAACTGATGGTGTGAGAGAGTGTGAGGCAGTGGTGGTATACTGCACGTGATTGTCTCGTTATCACTACTGAACGTGTAGTTACCATCACTTATGGTGTGTGGGGGGAGGAGGAGCAGGTGTGGGTGTGCTGTGTGGGTGTGGTTTGTGTAGAGTGTGTGTGTGTGTGTGTGTGGGGGGTGTGTTTGTTTGTGTAGAGTGTGTGTGTGTGTGTGTGTGGGGAGTGTTTGTGGGGTATTTGTGGAGAGTGTGTGTGGGGGTGGGAGTATGGGTGCATATTAGGAAGATTGGCTTATGGGAGAAGATGTTTAGGATTAGCTTGGTAATTTTAAGGTGTTTTAAGGGATTTTGCGTGATTTTAAGGGGTTTTAGGGTGATTTTAAGGGGATTAAGGTGTTTGAACGGCTTTTAACTGAGGTAAGTAGTTGTAGTTACCTTAAGGGGTTTTAAGGGCGGTAAGGGTTTTTGTAGTTATTTCAAGGGGTTTTAAGGTTGGATAAGGGGTTGGTATTTATACTATTGAACATAATGGTGAGATAAGGTATAATGGGTCAAAACTCATATGAAGAAAGACTGAAAAGCTTAGGCTTACATTCATTAGAGAGGCGTAGAGTTAAGGGAGATATGATAGAGGTGTACAAGTGGGTAAGTGGGATTAACAAGGGTAAAATGGAAGATGTTCTGAAGCTCAGTAATAACGAAATAACTAGAACAAATGGCTTTAAATTAGATAAATTCCGATTCAGAAAGGATATAGGCAAGCACTGGTTTGGTAATAGAGTTGTGGATATGTGGAATAGGCTACCGAGTGCTATAGTAGTAGGATCGGGGACGCTAGGGAGCTTCAAGACGAAGTTGGATAGGCACATGGAAGTGCTGGGATGGGTGTGAAAGGGATCTGCCCTGTATGGGCCAGTCGGCCTCCTGCAGTATCCCACTTTCTTATGTTCTTATGTTCTTATTTAAGAGTCGTAAAGCTTCATTTAGGGACCATTGGTTTTATTAAGAGTCATAGAGCTTCATTTCAGAAACTCGTAGGGATTTTATATACGAATTTCGGGTTAGTATCTACACATTAATTATTATCCACACTTAAAAAAATATAAATCTGTTTTTATTTAAGCTATTTTTTCCTTTACTAATTACCTTCGACTTTTAATAATATAAAAACACGAACATTTCAAATAAGTTTGTTTTTTATAATGAAACAGAAGGAAAAAAAAAACCTATTTGTTCCTCTATGAATATTAACTAGGAAAAAAAAAGATCCTGAATTTCAACCTCACAAAGTTTATTTTTGTTTTCGTCCAACAACAACAACAACAACAACAACAAGTAAACATATTGGGTTTCCACAGCCCAAGTCAATTATATATTCTGATGGCCAGGTATTGAAAACATGTTCAAAATTGGATGATTAAGTTAACATAACAGAAATATAAAATAGAATTAAGAGGAGGAATTTAATGTTGTGTGTGTGTGTGTGTGTGTGCGTGTGTGTGTGTGTGTGTGTGTGTGTGTGTGTGTGAGTGTGAGTGTGTGTGTGTGTGTGTGTGTGTGTGTCAATCTATAATTCCCAGCCACCTCTTAAACCTCTCCTTCCCTCATCTCAAAGTCCCTTCTCTTCCTCCTCCCTCATCCTTCTTCCTCCTTCTCCACCTCCTCCCTATTCCTTCCCTCCCTCCTCATAGTCCCTCCTCTTCCTCCTCCCACTCCTCACCCCTCCCTCACAGTCCCTCCTCGTAGTCCCTCCTCTTCCTCCTCCCGCTCCTCACAGTCCCTCCTCGTCTCTAACCTTCCTCCACCCTCACAGTTCCCCCTCCTCCTCCCTCACTTTCCTCCCGCACACAGTTGCTTGCATGACGCCTGATTATTGGGTCAGGCACCCTCGTCCCTTCACCCCTTCCCCCTTCCCTTCTCTCCCCTTGATAGTCACGCATGCCACATTAACCCCTCCCCCCATTCTCCCTCACTCCTCCCCCCATTCTCCCTCACTCCTCCCTCCATTCTCCCTCACCCCTCCCTCCACCCTTCTTTAACCCGATAGAGAGAGAGAGAGAGAAAGAGAGAGAGAGAGAGAGATAATATAATTTTCATTGGTTGATGAACACACACACACACACACAGGTGCCAACAACAGGAGCATAGTGCCACCTTTGAACTTATGAAATGACCTTTTTAATGGGCAGTTATCAGTAATTAACTTGACACTGGCACTGTTAACATCAAAGGTACAATTGGTGGTGTATATTTTCTATGAATAAGATTAACAGTCAACTATATCAACAATATATACATTATACTACAGTCGTATAATATTATCTAATTGATTCATGTTTACTAAAATATTCCTATTGAGTATAACATTAATAATAAGAGTTATGTATGTCATGTATACTGATGTAAGATATTCATACAATCATACACACTCAAAGTAAACATATACATTAATACAAGATACTCATACTGTCATTCTAAAAGGTAGGTTTAGCTTTAAGGTGTTTATTTACGTTCATACATAGGGACGACCCCCATACTGAGTCAAGCTAACTCCCTCCTCATAGGTCAACTGCTCTTCATGACTGCTAGTGGGTGTATGGCATCAGTTACCGGACCTCACACCTTATACAATACGCTAAAACAAGTGAGTAACGGGGTGGTTTTTTAGAGTTGGTATTTTATAATATAGGATAAAGTATATAATAGTATCCAGGAGTTAGGATGTAATTATAGTGTGTTCAGGTGGATTTTGTGAGGTTGTCTACGGAGTCGTGTTTGTGGAGGCCGATATGGGGTGGTATTTATATGAGGTGGATAAGGAGGGCATCCGTCTTTACCCTTTAGGAGGTAATGGTGGATTTGTCTCACTAGATCTTGACAACCACACACACATACACAGTCATACTAAAACCTAACCTAACCTAACCTGACCTAACCTGACCTGACCTAACCTGACCCCCCCTAAAAGAAAATTCAAAACATATCAATTAAAATTACAATCGATTAAAAAAATCAATTATCATTCTGTAATTGCCTCATAGAGTGATATAGAATGTTGATTACAAGAAATACCTGACGTGATTATAATAATATTTAATGAGGTATCGGGATTGTTCATATCAGGTGGGGCCAATACAGGGCTATATATCGATTTGTGTGTGTGTGTGTGTAGAGGTGGGGGGATCACAGTGCTTTAGGCTACTGCATACACACACTCACATGACCATAATATGCCTCGACCCTCATGGTAACTTTATCACGGAAGAGGCAAGGCAATGTGATCCACTTGGCTATTTATGCTGACTGTGGTGTTTGTTATAAGCCAAGGTTAACTTAGTTACTGTTAATTGTTTACATTCATGGTTTGGTTAGGTTAAGTTCCTCCATGTTGGGTGAATTTTAATGACATAATTATATACTGTGTTGTGGCGCCGTCGTGGACAGATATCAACAATGTTTACGCTTCGTGGCGCCACTCAAATGAGAGCTTAAAATGTTTACATCACGGTAATGTTTATGTTTATTCTTAAAACTGTTTCAACTGTGAGAAATATATCCAAGAACAATGGAAAACCTGTATCGTCGACCATAATTAAAAGTAAATTAATGAATGTGGTAAGTCGAGAGTTTAAAGCCAATACAATAACTAACGATTGACAGCTGAGTGAAAATGTCTGTCTTCGTCTCTTTAATTTTTTTTATCTATTTCCTCTGTTACATTGTTAGTTATCCTTTTACGTACAAATAGACTGAAAGCAAATATCCGTTGGGTGTTTATCTCGTGACGATATGGCGAATTGACTTTGAAAACTGAATATTCTTTATTTTGCGGGAAGGTTACCAAGTGAAACGACAGACGTGTGTATTAGTGGTGGAAAATATACTTAAAATGGTATATTAACATGTGCTCCTTCATACGTCATTTATATATGCAATTAATGGGAATTAATATGCAAAGAAACAAAGATGAGGTGAGCTGTTTTCTGTCATTGGTTTTCGACTCGTTTTCTTCTACAAAATTGACTCGGTAAATCTTTACATGTCATTTCTAATGCCTTTATTAGGATGAATTAAGGGTGGTGGTGATGAGGCTGATCACTGTAGCAAGAACAAATATATACAGATTCTTGAAGTCATAAAAATCGGTAGGTAATAGTAGTGATGCTGTCTATGGATACTAGTCATAAATCCAGTGTGTGTTACCAGACGATACGTAATTCAGTGATTCAGGGTTATTAAATTTTACTTTTATTGCTTTTACC